CTACAAGCCTCTGCTTCTTCTCCCTTATTCCCCAGCTTCCTTCCTGCTCTGTTCTTCTCCCCACATTTCTCTTGTTGGATTTCAGCACCCACTATGCTGTGTCCTTGAACCCTATGTCAGAGCTGGGCTCCTGGTGTCCATCAGTCAACTGCAAGCTGGTCTTCCATTTATCACCTGCCTCTGAGTTCCTGTCCCTGTACTCTTTTCATGGTACTCTTCACTAATCTCTCTTGGGTGGGTCTCTCCCTTTATCCTACCCATTACTGACTGCCTAGATCACAAGCTGCTATAGCCACCCGACAAAGAACATAATCTTTCCCTTAGCCAAAACAGTTGTCGGTTCAGTTACCCATGGAGGTCCCCCCCACTCCTCTCCAGGGTAAGAATCTTCCTTCTAATCACAACCAGTCCCTGCCTCCTCACCCCATCCTTTTATACAGAACCAGTCATGCCTGGATGTGTGAAACAGGAACAAACAGGTCTATTACTTGATGAACATAATAAATGCTTTCCTCCCAGAGGAGAGAATGGCAATCTTTCTTAAACTGGTGCTGATTCTGGCATTTTGGAAGGCTTTACTGAATCCATCACTAAGCTGCCTAAAGATAGAAGTAAGACTCTCTGACAGCATCATGCAGAAAATTGGATACAATCTCCCAGCATGAGAAAACACACCACTGAGTGGGTATAATGGTAAATAATAATGGGACGATCTAAAGAGAGGAGCCGGATGAGTCATAGGAAGACACAGTAAATGTTGCAGACAAATTAAGTAGCACAAGACTCATTTTAGGAGGGTTCAGGGAAAAGACCAAAATGTTGGATGGAATTAAGATATGAAAAATGTGTTTGCTCAAAACCAGAATCCAAATTTGCTCAGAACTTGAATTGACAGAACAGACTGTTGGAAATTATGAAAATCTTAAGCTGTTATTAAAAAGTAAATTAAAAATTCCTGAACATCAGTTCCAAAAAAATTCACCTAAGTTCCTACAAAATATTAAAAAATAATTTTTATTCTCATAATAAAATAAGAAAATCTATTTTGTAAAGCGACAATAACTGAAGCACAGAAAATAAGACTTGATTTTAAATTCAAATTCTGTATTTATAATAGAGCATGAGGCTATGTACTAGAAATCCATTTTTCCTTTGTAATAAATGTAACTTAATTTTTAAAGGCTTGGTTAGTAATAAATAATTTAAAGCTCTAGTATATCTGCTTTCAATCTCCAAATTTTACTGTTACCATCATTTTTAAAAGCCTACCTCTGAGGAGATATTAGGCCTTTTAAAGGGAAGAAAACAATGGAATCTTTTGAATAACTTAAAATTTAAATGGAAAACTGGAAAATAAATCTCAAATCTAAAACAAATTGGTAAATAAGCCCAAAATCACTTGGATAATGCTATTTAAGATAAATAACATTTGGGACACAGGGAGACTTTTTAAATTCAGGATGAGTCAATTTTGTTAATTGCAGATGGATTATCTACCTCAGGAGGTGTCCTGTGCTCCAATTCCAAAGCCTAGATCCATCCAGATAGGAAAAATCCTCCAACTCCTCAACAAGATTGGCTAAAGTAATGGCTGCAACAGGAGAGTGTACAAATTGTTTCTATCTCCAGCTATGAGGAACCAACCATGCAAAACAGTGGGGTGTTTAGTGACCATCTGTCTTACAATGTTATCTTTAACTAGATAGCTTAAGCCCTGACCAGGGCAGGTTCACTAGATGGGAGTGGGGGAGGGGATGGGGCAGGAGGAGGCAGAGGGGACTGTGAGAAATAGATATAAGAGCTAGCTGTTAAATACATATTATTTCCCAGTGTGAAGTTCATTGTTTCTGCCACGCTTTAATATATTCCACCATATTAAAAACAAAACAAAAAATATATTCCACTATATTTACATATTATGTTATAAAACATGGTATCTTCCTTTAGAAGTTATATTTGTCATCAAGTTTCCTGTGAGAAAACACTTCCCTGACCTTGTATCATCTCTGATATTCTCCCTGACTCTGTCCTTTCTTCCAAAACCATTCTCTCCTCCACTGAAGTATCCCATGCCTTCCAACCTCCCCATCTCTCCCCACCATCTGTCTATTAGATTGGTTTGAAAAATCAAGCACATGGAAAAAAATGTCAGTGAACAGGAATGAGTGTGGAATCTGAAAGTATCCATCTAGTGGACCAGCTGATTTGAAGGGCTACTCCGACATTATGGGCAGGTAAAACTTCCACGCAAACATTTCACTCTCTTCCTCAACCAAACTACACTTTTAAACAAAAGTGATAAATGAGTTTCATTGCTTTTCATTTGAGGTTTAGGCAGGGGAATAAAATGCCATTTGAACAGAAGATGCACCTTCTCTCCAAGCACCTGAACTTCCAGCAGCCAAAGACAGCATGCTCAGCCCAATGGACTTTGTTCTTTCATCTACATGTTCTCCCATCTCTAGACACTTGACTCTCTCTAAGTTAGTGTTTTTAATAAAAGGTAATATTTTCTCAAACAAGATGGTGGGTGGATTACAACAAAATGTATTTTTTTCCCATTGTTCACCTGGGATGGAGTGACTGCTCAGGTGAGAGCACATGAGTAAATTACTGGGTGCTTTAATAAATAAATCAAAAATATCATTCCACTGGCAAGCTTGTTATATTTAATTTTACTCTCCTATTTTTGATTAGTCTTGCCTATTTGACTTCCCTCTCTCATCTCTTTCCTCTTTTCTCTTCATCTCAGGTATCTAATTGGGTTTCCCTCATGTAATAGGCCATCACACTGCAGTTCTTATAGTTTTATTCTTTGCTTCTTTCTTTTGTCTCCAATCTCTTTGCTACACACTAGCTCTACATTTCATTTCCCATTTAATACTAACCCACGCCAGCCTAGTTAAATTTACTTTAAAATAAAAACAAAAACAAAAACAAAAATAAACACCCTCTCACTGCTCAAACAGTAAGCCTACCTTTTAACCCTTTTCTTAATATTTATTTGCCTGAGAGGATTGCCCAGTAAGGTCAAAGGTTGAATAAAACATTAGTTACATATACTTTAAAAAACTGAATGAATTCTACCTTTGTCAATAAGACAGATATAATATCAATACTTTCAATAAACTTGCTTAAATTACAAAAGACCCTATAGATGAAGCAAAGCGGGTAGTTAGAACAGCTTCATGTGGCCTAAACAGGTTTCCAAGGCTTTATCTCAATTATGCCACCCCATCCTCAGCATGAATGAGGAAAAATCTAAAGGGCATCTCATCTTTCCTGATTATGTAAGATGATCATAAATCAACTGCCAGGAAATACTCCCAATGTTTGCAAAATCATGACTCTAGATATCTTCACCCCTTACCCTGAGTGTGTTTTTGTTGGTCTTGTCTAGAGGGAATTGTTGAATCAGCTGAACAACAACCACATCTCACACTGTATTCTATTTACCACACACCTCCAACCAATATAATGCCAATTTTTTAACATGTTTCAAGACTAACATAAAAATAATCTTCTACTGGGAAAAAAATCTATGTAATTTAAGAGTTTCTGAAATTAGAGTTATAATTTCCCTTTATGGAGAAAATAACACCAGATAAAAATAACCAGTAAAATGACCAATTTAAAAATATGAGTGCAAGTTCCATAAAAATCTCTATTCTGTTGCTCTGAAATAAGAATTCTATATTTTAATTGCTTTTGTTTTCTCTCAAAGAATATTCAAGGCATCTTTAAGGTGGTATTGTATATATGATTGATTTGTTTTTCAGCAAAAAGGGTGATTTAGTGATCTTCCAAGAATTTTCATGGGCCTAAGTCACTAGACCCAACAATACAGTAACAATTATATATATTTAATAAAATATTTGCATTTGCTTTACAGATTACTTATTACTGACGTATTAAAGTGCACATAAACATATTTGAATCATAAGCTTACAAATTTTACAATGATATGAAAACAAATTACACATGAAAGAAATGTTAAAAAGGCATTGATATGCAAAAGCATCCAAACTGGCACTCAGTAATAATTTTCTAAGAAAATCAAGTTAAATAAAGGAAGTGAGAACTCATAGACTTCTTATTAGCCTAAGAAGAACACTCTAAGCATAAAGTTCAATTTTATACAGATAATGTGAGAACGATGCCTTGGACATTTCAAGTATTTGAATGTCAAAGGTGAATAGATTTACAGAGTTTTGACACATTTATTTTAATGAGTTTGAGATTCTTAAAAGAATGTTGAAGATACACACTTCAAAATTCCCCCAAGCCTTTGGATATTGTGGTTAGCGCCGCAATTTTCTCGTATTTTTCCTAGATCATTTTATTTTTATGAACAGTTAACTGAATCCAAATAATTGAGCTGGGGTGAATGGAGGAAGAAGGAGGACAGTGAGGGGGAAGATTCAGGAAAATATATCTGCAATTAGTTTTCTGTCTTATTTGGAACTGGAGAAAATAGGATCACTCCACGCAATTGATCTGAAAATGAAACATGATCCCAGTGATTGAAAGTGAAGGAAGAATACATAATTCTGAGTTACGGCTTTCTCGTAACATTTATACCCTTACTTTCTTTTTTACAGGCCAATTTTGTAATAAAAATCATTATTAAAATCTCAATCACTAAAAATACATTTATTAAGCATATAGTATAAAGAATGCTGCTCCAAATAGTCCCTGGCCCAAAGGAGGAAAGTCTCTTTTTCAAAACATTTAATTCTTAAAACCTAAGAAGTAATACTATACCCAAAAGGAAAACAATACATTTGCTTTTTTGAATCTCATTTCATTTTGTGAACATTTTTGTGACAGCTAATATAAACGATTCTTTACAAACATGTCAAAACTACTTGTTAGAAGAAAAAACTCAGTGAGATTTTCAAACCCACTTTTGGTCTCCAACCACATATTCATCAATTCCAAACTACCAAAATGAAAACTGAAGAGTTAACATTTCTTTGTCTGGATTAAAAAATACTTACACTATTGGCTTTTCCAGGCGACTTCCCTGAGAACCAACAATCTCCCCCAATGTACAAAACACTTGTCCCAGAAAGTCCTAAAATAGATAAGAGGATTAAAGCTCATAAGTTCTCAAACTGTCTTTACACTACATATTTTGTATATCATATTTGCATTGGTTTCATTGCTGAAATACCGAATTCTCTCACCTCCAATAGTAAGTAAAATAAGCTCAATATGCATTCATTTTAGCATGTGATTTTCCTGCAAGTATGCGAAGCCCTTTGTCCTTTTTATCACGGCAGGCCTGTTATTGCAAGTAAGCAAGACATTGCTTTCCTTTTCTTTTTCTTTTTGAAATTACAACAAACATGGAATAAAGTTCCAGGATCTAAATTCACAACTGGCTTGATTTTGGATGCTTCTGAACCTAGTAAACTTTGGGCTGAGGAGGCAAACTGTGACCAGCTCAGACAGGCTGTGAGATGTGGCCACAGGAGGGGTCCCAAGCCACATGGCCAGGTGTCTATTCCATGACTGCCACTGATTACCTGGGACTGGGCAATTAATTAAGCTCTCCCGTTTCCTCACTGCTAACATGTACTAGTCCTCCTCACAGAGTAGTTTTGAGGACGAATGAGTTATTGCATTAGTTAATATTAGCATATGTTAAGCACCTAAAAATAGGTTAAGTATATTAGATTTTAAAGTTCACTATGTACAGCTAGATGAATCTTATTTTCAAGTATAATCTTACACTTATTTTCAGGTCTCAGAATAACCTTGCAAAATGAAAGGTCTGTTATTAATCTCCATTTCACATATAAAGAAACTCCTACTCATACAGGAGGTTGATCTTTTCATGTTTTAAGCAGTCAGTAAGTAGCAGAGTCAGGAATAACCCAGATGTTCCAATTCTAGATTACTATGCTCCCTAAGAATTTAAATATAAATACAATGCAATTTCACATGCCAATAAAACAAGAGTTCCAACATCATCTGGATATATGAGTCAAGAAAATATGGAAGTATTTCAGGGAGAGACACACCCTCTAGTTCAGTCTGTATATGATTCGAATCCCCTAAAAGAAAAGGTGAAAGATCTCCCTAAATTGAACAGTGAACCAGTCCACGAGAAGCTCTAAGAAGGATGGACAGAAATGAAGGCCAACAAAATGTTGTTTAAAGTTTTTAATAAATAAAATTTTCAAATGCCTAACAAGTCACAAAAGTAAAAACTGTGTATTCCATTTAAAAAAATAAAAGAAGGGGAGAGTGCTCTAAGTCTCATGAAGGAAAAAAAAAAAAGCCCACACTGGAGAGTAGGATAGTCAGGGTAACATTTCCCAAAGGCAGTAAGCCTTGAGAGCCAAGTAGGAATCCGATCATGGAGAGATGAGAGTTGGACGTTCTGTTAGCTAGGATGCAATGAGAAGTTACTCAGATCTGAGGGCTAAAAGCTATGAAGAGAAGAATAGAGGGGGGGAAGGACAAAAGCAGGGAAGGAGTATGTTTTGCTTTGCAAAAAAACAGCCATTCCCACCAAAGAGACACCCAGCTGTGGAGGCCACTTTTAGGCAAACAGACTGGAGCAAAGGAATGTAGAAAGGGCCCTCAGATCCCACCAGGCTGAATAGACAGGCCCATCAGGAGCCCCACCTCCAAATAACCGTAGGCCCTAACTGGTCAATGGGCTACTTACAACCAGGCACAGTTACCAAAAAAGGCAGAATTCCATATGTCGCCATACCTCCTCATCTTCCCCCTTTAAAAACAGCCCCCATCTACTGGCTCGTTGCAGATACCCTCTCTTCTCTCTGGTCGCTGCTCCCTTGCAATGTATTCGATAAACTTCTATCTCCTTTGTTCTGCTTCAGGTGAATTCTTGGACCTCCCAAGCCACCAGCTTCCACCCAATAGTCAGCCCACATTTTGGGGCCCCCATCCAATCAAGAGATTCCCCGTGTAGATACCACACCAGCTAGGGGTTTCATCTGTTGGCCCCTTAGTAGGTGTTTCTTTCACCTGATAGCCTTATCTGAGCCATTTTGGGCTGGTTTGAGCCATTTTGGAGCTGAGGACCTGCAGAAGCCCCACCGAAGTTGCCCTGTAGTTACCTTTAGTTCATTATAAAACTCAGATCTACTCCTATAGGTGGGGTTTTCTGCCATTTTTTTTTAACACAGATACATGTATTAGCATGTTGACATGCTAGGCACGTGCAATTGAACCAAAGTGCCTAAATAATAGAATACGTATAACTCCTTAATGTGTATATGTAGCGCATATGCAAGCCGCCGCCCCCACCCCCAATACACTGAATAAAAGCTTCCAGTACTCACCCCAGGGGGAGACAGTGCTTTGACAGCTGTCTCTAGCTCCTCACTTGCAACAAGTAATAAAAAGTTCTTCACTTTCAACACTTCCTTGGGTTGTGTTCAATTTAATGCACCCCAGGCAGTGAACCCCTTGAGTTCAGTTACAATTCCAGTGAAAGAACAGAATTGGCTCTGTTGACCCCAAGATATGCCTCTTTGGCAGAAGGATTATTTTAGAGAAGCAGTAGACTCAGGAGAAGCTCAGAAAACCACACTAGAAGTTACCCCTCTGTAGGAGATATTTACGTTTATAAGAAAAATTTCCATTTGTAAGGGTATAGGAAGTAGAGGGGGTACTAAATCTCTAGGAACTCTTCTTAGTGAAGAAGGCAGAGACTTCAATCTGCATAAGCCATGCCCTCTTTAACATGCTTTGCCTGAAAACCTCCCTCCCATAACTGGTTCCCCACCCACCAATATTTTTTGTCTTTAGCTAGACATGGTATAAGATTTGGACCATTTCAGGGAGTTACTCATTTTTTTCTTGGCATTTTACAGGAGATATATTATTAAATTTTCATTTGTTTTTCTACTGTTAATATGTCTTTTTCATTACAGAGGGTTGTCAGCCAGGAACCTTGAAGGGTAGAGGGAGAATTATTTTTCCTCCCTGACACAGTCTTAGAGAACAGATCAGGCAAGAATGTAATGAGAAAAAAGTGGGCCTCAAGTAAGGGGCAGAATTGAAGATGAAGAGCCAGGATGGTGAAAGGTCCAGTTGGCTGGGCAAAAACAAACATAGAAAAAAGTTGCCTTAGGATAATCAGAAGTAACTGGAAGACTTTTAGCAATGCAGGGATACCATTAGAATAGTGCATTCATGAATAGGGAAAGGATGGGACTTTTAGGTAGGTAAAGAACGGTGGGGTGGGGTGGGGGGGGCAACTAGGCTTTCTGACGGTATTTCAGGTATGCAGACACTGAAACAGAAAAAAGACAGAGATCAGGAAAATTTAGACCACCCTATCCCAGTTACTAGAGTTAAAATGTTTTTCTACTAATTAAATTGTAACCACAGAAAATAAAAATAACCACAAAAACTAATCAGGCCTCAAAAGAAAAGTTTGCCATGAAGATTAACCAAACCTAGCAATACGTATCTATAGATCATAGATGTCACAGAAACAAAGACTCTCACACAATATATAAATGTCATGTTTAGTTCCAGGCCACTGCCCTAACCACTGGCAAGTTTCCTGGAAAGTCTTAATAAAAGGCCAGAGATGAAAAGCCCTCACTGGCAACCTGGTTGGGAGCCCTCACACTCGTGAGAGCTTTTTCTGTATCCTTGATTAATAAAACTCTATCGTTTTGCTCACTCTTCTTTGTCCGCGAGATTCATTCTTTGATTCTGTGAGACAAGAACCTTGCTCCCCTGCTTCATTCAGATTACTCAGGTACCAGTGTGCAGAATGGACTGAGGGATGAGGAAAAATCTGGAACCTGGATCAATCAGAAGACTCTAATGGTTAATAAGAAGCCAAGTGTTAAGACTCAAACTACAGTTGTAGCAAGTGGTAGGAACAGTGCAGAGAAAAGTGACAGGATTTGGTGTAAACTATACTGGCACATGCAGGTCATGTGGGAAAAAAAGGTAGAAGAGAAATTATTAAATTTCCTTACTACTTACAGCCCACTGACAAGTCCTTGAAACAGGCAGAGTGACATTCCTCTAGGGACGCAGCAGCCTCGATGTTAATACTTTGCTAAGGGCAAAAGGCAATCTTAGCCAGACCCCCAGGATGCTGTAAGTCTACTTTAAAATATACAAATTCCTTTGGAAATTTCCTTTATCTCTACCCCCCAAGATATATGCTGGCAGTCATCTGCCAGGCATATGACCCACCAATATATATCTGCAGGGTCTCATGACTCAGATTTTAGCAGACAGCAATAAATGACCTTTTCCCAACAATAGCCAGCCTTCTCAAGGTCCCAGAAACCTTGCTTCCAAAATTCCTTAGAGACTTCCGCTATCTCTAACCCCCTCCCAACTTGAAAGTATATAATGGGCCACTGCTCATGACCCCATTGCAGCTCTTTCTGCCCACGGGTCCTGTCCCTGTGCTTTAATAAAACCACCTTTTTGCACCAAAGGTATCTCAAGAATTCTTTCTTGGCCATCAGCTTCGAACCCTAATGTCTTTCCTACATCAGCACAGGGTGTGCGGGGGGTGAAGTAGAGATAGGAAGAGACAGAAAATAACTCTAGATCTGAAACTTGATGGCTTACAGAATGACAATGTCACCAGCTAAACCCAAGACCTGGCCTTTACTGCTCACCTGCTTGTACTCATTGACCTTGTCCCACATTTTTCCGTAAGTTCTTTCTGGCTTATCTCTCACTTAACACAGGCTAAAAAGACCCAATGGGCATAGCATTCCCTGAAGGAAACCGAAACTGCCCCCTCAAGCTTTAATGACTGCCCTGGCGAAGAGCTCTGGAGGCCCAGACCACGCAGACCAGTTTGAGCTTAACTCACACATGTGCAAATCGACCATGTAGTGAAGGACTTCTACCTCATTATCATGCTAAAATATCTGCCAAAGGAGGAACACAAGCCTCATTAACATAACACACAATGTTTGTATAGGCAGGTTTCCTTAAGGTGCACATGCAACCTTATGCCCACCTCTATATATGATGACAAGGTTCCCCTTTCTAAATATTCACCGGAACGCTAAATAAAAGGAACCCATCCACCCCTGCTTTTGCTGG